GGTGATACATGGTGAGGTATAAAGTGTCATTATGCCTGTAACTTGTTTTTAAATGCAAAAATAAAAAGAATAAAAATTTTTTCCCAAAGGGGAAAAACGCCTCTTAGCAAAGTAAAAATGAAGTACTGCAGGGGTCAGCCTGGTGGCGCAGCAGTTAAGTTTGCACGTTCCACTTCACCAGCCCGGGGTTTGCCAGTTCGGATCCTGGGTGCAGACCTACTCACCACTCATCAAGCCATGCTGAGGCGGCATGCCATATAGAAGAACCAGAAGGACCTACAACTAGGATATACAACTAGGTACTGGGGCTTTGGGGAGAAAAAAGAAAAAGGAAGATTGGCAACAGATGTTAGCTCAGGGCCAATCTTACTCAAAAAAAAAAAAAAAAAGAAGAAGAAGAAGTACTTCAAATAATAAAGCAAAAAAGTCTTCATTGATCATCATACTCAATATTGATCTGTTAACTGCAAACTCTTTACTCCCAGTGGCCAAAGATGAAACGATTTCAACAAAAAAGTAAATAATGATAGCATTGGATTATAACACAAAGAATAAAATAAACATCCATGAGTCTATACTGATATAAATGATAAAGAAACAAAGAGAAAGAGGGCAGGGAGGGAGGGAGGGAGGAAGGAAGGGAGGAAGGAAGGAAGGAAGGAAGGAGAAAAGAGAAGGCACAAATTTTCTTTACTGAAAAATTCCAAATACTATATGTATATATTCCCCCCCTAGGAGGTGGAACTTAATCACTATCTCCTTGAATGTGGGCTGAACTTAGTTGCATGCCTCCAATACCAGCACATGAAAGGGAGATGTATTATCTTATCAAAGGAGAAACTCACCCCAACCAAGTGATCAAAGTGATCAAGGTTTCCATCACCAGTGATAAGTGAGGTTGATAGTATATAGCTTCTGATATGATATGAGAAGGCATATTACCTATTTGGAATCCTTCCCCCAAACTCATAACCTCAGTGTAATCAGGAGAAAACACTGAAAAGCCTAAATTGAGGGACATTCTACAAAATACCTGACCAATACTCTTCAAAACTGTCAAGGTCACGAAATACAAGGAAAGGGAGAAACTGTCACAGATTGGAGGAGACATGAGACTAAATGCAATATGCTTATCCTGGAAAGGATCCTGAAACAGAAACTAAGGACATAAAGTGGAAAAACTGCCTACATCTGAATAAAGTCTGTAGTTTAGTGAAGAATATTGCATGAATGTTAATTTCTTAGTTATGCAAATGTGCCATGGTTATGTAAGACGTTAACATTGGAGGAACCTAGGTTAAGAGTAGATAGAGGGGCTGGCCCCATGGCTTAGTGGTTAAGTGCGTGCACTCCACTACTGGCTGCCCGGGTTCGGATCCCAGGTGCACACCGATGCACCGCTTGTCCAGCCATGCTGAGGCCACATCCCACATACAGCAACTAGAAGGATGTGCAACTATCTATGACATACAACTATCTACTGGGGCTTTGGGGAGAAAAAGGAAAACAAAAATAAAGGAGGAGGATTGGCAATAGATGTTAGCTCAGGGCCGGTCTTCCTCGGCAAAAAGAGGAGGATTGGCATGGATGTTAGCTCAAGGCTGAAATTCCTCACCAAAAAAAAAAAAAAAAAAAAGAGTAGATAGAAACTCTCTGTCCTATCTTTGCAACATTCTATAAATCTAAAGTTACTCCAAATTTTAAAGTTTTTTTTTTTTAAAAGAAAACTCTAAAATCAGGAAGAAGACAAGGATACCTACTAATACAATCAACAGCTTAACAAGAGGTGAAAAATAAGGAGTAAAAGAACTGAAAGGAAGAAAAATCTTTTTTCACAAACCTTAAGACTTTTTGCATAAATCCAAAATAATTCCCTGAACAGTTATTAAAATAAATAAAAGCTTAGCAAGCTTGCCAGATATAAGATCAATACTAAAAAATCAATTGCATTTCTATATATCAGCAATGTACAATTAGAAACGTAACTTTCAAAAAGGGATTTTAGCAACAGTCTATAAAGAATATAGAAATAAATCTAAATAATGATGCGTAACATCTCTATAAAGAACATTTTTTAAAACTGTATAGACAATAAGGACGATCCCAATAAATGGAGAAACGTAAAGTTCTCAAGGATAGGAAGAATCATTACTATAAGGATGTCAATTATCTTCAAAACGATCTATACATTCAATTTATTGTAATAAAAATCACAACAGGAGTTTGGAAAGAACTTGAAAACTTATTTCTTAAAAATATATTAAAAAGAAAAACTGTCTTAAATATATATTAAAAAGTAAAATAGTGAGGATGCTTCAAAAGAAGAAGAAAATGAGGTGAGACTTCCCTATCACATAGCTTCTATAATGTTACAGTAATTAAGACAGTGTCATTTTGGTACACCGACTGATACAACTGACCAAAGTAACAGAACAGAGAGTCCAGAAACAGACCAGCTCATATACAGAAATCAGTTCTGCATGTTAGCTGGCTTTGCACATCACTGGGGGAAAGAGTGACCGTTCAATAAATGATGCTGCGACATTATTGGATACCCTAATGAAACACCTCACACCATAGACAAAAACAAATTACAGATGGATCAAGGACTTAAATATGAAAAGCAAAATTTAAATAGCCAAACAGTCCAATAAAAACTGGGCAAGAGATATGAGCAGGCATTTCACAGAAAAGGAAATATGAGTAGCCAATAATAATATGAAAATTTCTCAATCTCATTAGTAATGAGGAAAAACAAATAAAAGTTAATATCGAGGTACAATTTTACACTTACCATCCTACCAAAAATCAAAAGAATGACAAATCAAAAGGTTGGTGAGAGTGTGGTGCAATAGAAATTTTTGTATATTGTGGGTAGAAGTGCAAACTGGTCACTTTTAAAATCATTTTAACTGTATCTACTCAAGTTGAAAATATAAATACCTTAAGACCACAATACCATTCTTAGATACAGATTCAAAGAAAGTTTTCTTGAATTTTTGGACAATGAGAACTAGAAATAGGCCAAATGTTCATCAAAGTAGAACAGACAAAAAAGTTGACTATTTACACCATGGAAGACCAAACATGAAGGAAAACAAATGATCTAAGCTATCTGCACCAACAGAAACTAACTTTAAAAATATCATATCATATTGCCTGGTTTTGCTTGTTTTGAAACACACATCAAGTCACAAAACTAAACACAGTATTATCCCATTGATATACATTTCAAAACAGGCAGAAAATAATTTACTTTTTATAGGATAGCACATAGAGAAATACCTATATTTTATCAAATTATAGAGAAAATCAGGAGATCAAGTGAAAAAAACTTAGGACAATGATTATATTTGTAGGAATAAGAAGGTGCAATCAGGGAGGAACAAAGGGAAAGGATTTCAGAACTACTGGAAGTCACTTTTCTTAAGTTGAGTCTCGTACTGAGTGAAGTAGGTAGGTAAGGCATGCTGGACGATGGTTTAATTTTTATATTGAACTACTAATATACATTACATACATACACACCTAACTATATACGTATAGACACACACATATAATGCTTCGTCTCCTGTAATACAACCCATTAGGTGTGCAGGCGCCATGTGGCCCTCTTGGTATTGACCTGTGGGAATTGGAACTCAGGAAGAGGGACAAGAAGTGCTAATACTCTGGCTACTGCTGTTATTGTCATACAGTCCTTTGTCTCTGACCCAGGAGTCTCCTGTCTTCTATCAGCATCCAGGAAACTGTAGTACACTGACTTGCTACTTTGCAAGTAGGACAAAATCTTAAACCCTTCACAATTTTTGACAACATTATGGAATCCTATATATGAAAATAAGACAAGAGGTACAGTATAGCATGGTGAAAAACTACCTGTACAGCTGTTAGGAAAAACGTGTTTTAGCATTTGTTTAGGTATAAAATATGAATGAGATCTAGGGCAGCTACTTTACTTCTCCGGCCTGTTTCCTTATCTATAAAATGAAGGGTTGAATAACACCATCTCTAAATGTAGCTAGGATAGCTTCTATCCTCAAGTCTAAGATTATAGATGTAAGGAAAAAAATAACACGAAATGCACAGTCACAGAAAGAAGAAATGTGGAAAAAAATGTAACTACATAAATGTTAAAGATACAAACTGTGATGACAGTAAGTACAAAGTTTATTTCATTTGTATTGAAACATTTATCTGTATTATACCAGAGAATGAAAATCTTCCTTTAACTTGTATATCAAAGAGAAAATAAAGAACCCTACAAAGAAGCTCAAGTAAAATATTTTCATGATATACAAGTGCCATTGAAGTGAAAAATCTTCAATAAGACCACTCAACCTTGACAAGTGTATTCACATAGGATTTAAAGAGTAATATTTGTATGACATACAGTAGGTGGTCTTTTGCGTGGGTGAAATACTCCAGCTGACTTTTGCCCATGAATGCTTCCAGAAGAATTATGCTGAATATCTACCTGGCAAACCATAATGTTAGCCTAAATTTCAAATTTTCTTTCAGAACTGTATTTCTTCTTTGTGATGAAATATTCAAACTTCTTAGTCCTGTGTACGTGTATGTAGCCATATGTGTACCTATGGATACTGGGTACTATGGATAATATGTACCCATGGATACTGCTTTTTCTTTTAATAGTTTATTGTTTATTTGATTGATTTGGCTATCAGGAAGCTCAGATGTAAAATTTTTAGTACTAATGGTAACAGATTTTTTGGCACAACTGCAATCCTTTACTTGGCTTTTTATTCTTTATTCCTTATTTTAAATTTTCGTCTACACAGATTTTCTTACTAAAAATTACATCAAATTATTTTCAGTAGTAGATAGAAACATAGCTTAAATAAGATTGTAAATTTCTTGGATCATCAGAAAAACATCACAACAAAAAATGCCATTTAAAGTCACATCATCAAAATGAAGCAACTTGAAAGACTAACAGTTATTACACTCTGTTAAAATTTCAAATATGATTAACTTACTTGCATATGTCATCTTCGGGGTCTTCAAGCCCAAATCTTTCATCAAATGTAAGTTGTATCCATACATTTTCTTCTACTGCTACTAATCTCCATACCAAGACCATATTTCTTGGATAAGTATGAGGAAACCTTGGGCTGTGAATACTTCCATTAGAAGACACAGTAATAATTCTCTCATGCTGGGGATCTTGTACTCCTAAAGCAAAAATATAGGCATAGACATACATTTAGAACAGACATGCCAAAAATTATAGGTTTCAAAATAACTTCGGAAAGGTATCTAATACAACCCCAAAGTTTCACATGAACTGGAATTACTAAATGATCTTAAACCTTAAATGACCTTGAAAAGAGAAATGAAGTCAAAATAATGGTCTCAATTTCTTGTTGTAAGGGAACTATGAGCACTCTATGAAGATTATAATTATAAGAAATGTTGCAGGACTTCTCAGTGACTTTAATATGCTAATATGAATTTTAATTTTTATTTTATTTTTTTGCTGGGAAAGATTTGCTCTGAGCTAACATCTGTTGCCAATATTCCTCTCTCTCTTTTTTTTTTCCTCCCTAAAGCCCCAGTACATAGTTGCATATTCTAGTTATAAGTCCTTCTAGTTCTTCTATGTGAGCTGCTGCCACAGCATGGCTACCCACAGACAAGTGGTGTGGTTCCACGACTGGGAATCGAACCCAGGCCGCCAAAGTAGAGGGCACCAACATTTAACTGGTAGGCCATCAGGGCTGGCTCACTAACATGAATTTTAAATTTCTAAGAGGAGAACATAGTATAAAATAGCTTCCAAGTTTATTAGGCATGGCAACATTTTACATTGTGAAATGCTAACATATGTTGTTAATAATATGCCTTTTGATTAGAAGGTTGCGGGGAGACTTGAGGGGGAGGGCAAATTGGTATTGCTGAGACAAAAGTGTTCTTATTCCCACCCACTTGGGAGTTAGTAATGAGAGGAAACCCATATTGATATTTGTAAAATGAGTGGCTGTTCACCTACACAAAAAATCTAAGAAGTAAGATAGTTATGCTCTTTTACGCCATGAAAATCCAATCCATTTAAGTATGCTAAATTCCAGTAAGAAAAAAACCTTTAAACTATCTTTTATTCAATTTCTAAAATAATTTTATAAAAACATTTTAAAAGTCCTAAACTGGACTTTGAACACATGAAGTAATGTGCATGGCACAACACCCGACACTTAAATTTTTTTGTGTGCAACTTTTATATGCTTATAATATCAAGACAACAATTTTAAATTATAGGAATATCTCATTAGTTTTCATGATTTCTTGCATAATATTAGAAAACTAATACATCTATTCTGCACAAAGCTATTTGGATCACAAGGATTTCTTTTAGAACCCATTCTTTTTATTTTAATTTTTCCTTTTTTTTTATTGACGTAACATTGGTTTATAACATTATATAAATTTCAGGTGTACATCATTATATTTCGACTTCTGTATAGCATATGTTCACCACCAGAAGTCTAGCTGCCATCCGTCACCTTACACATGTGCCTCTTTACCCCTTTCGCCCTCCTCCCACCCCCTCGTTCCTCAGCAATTACAGTAACTTCAGCAACTTTTCAGTTAGTATTTATGATACTCAAAACACATTATTCCACATTGATAAAATGCAATTTAAGAATATTGCTCTAAGAAACTTATTGAATTTAAGAATTAATGGCAAGGGTCATTTCTTAGTTAGAATATTATTAAGATTAAAGAATAACCAGTTTTACTGTTAAAATACCCAAAATAATTTTAACAAATTGTAGTTATGATTCTTAAAGCAGCGTTTTCATTCTCTTCAACTTGGCTGTTTCAACAATCAGTCTGGTAAGTATTATTTTATATTGTCTTCCTTATAATTAGGAAGACAAAGTAAAGACAAATATAATTTCCTTTGAACATATACAGTACACATTACGGTTAGTAAAAACACTTTAAGTGCCATAGGATTTTTAAATTAAATAAATAATTTAATGCCGCCATTCTTCTCAGTGCCTAAACTTCTCCTCAGCAGTAAGTAACCTATGCAGAAACATGTTCCCTCTTTGTACTGGATGCTAATATTTGATACTGCTATTGGCTATATTAACAAAATCAATACCTTCTTTATGCACTTTTAGCACCAGTATATCCTCTAAGAACACAGAAAGATCTATCAAGTTAGATGAATTCTTCTTTATACTGACAAATTTTATTAAGAAAATGACAATGATTTACTATTAAAATTAAATTAATATATTCTCTATTTTCAAAGATTACTTTTAAAAATGAGATCTCTAAATTTTCCCCAATCTTTAAATTTTCTTCCAATAATCTACATATTTCAGAGCTGTTTGTACCAACTGTTTATATCAAAAGTCCTTCTCATTTTGGCAACTAATACTTTTTAATGAATTAATATTTCTAATCATATTCATTAAAATTTAATATTCACGGGCCAGGCCTGTGGCCTAGTGGTTAAGTTTGGAGTGCTCTGCTTCAGCGGCCCAGGTTCGGTTCACGGGCATGGACCTACACTACTCATTGGCGGCCATGCTGGGGCAGTGATCCACATACAAAATAGAGGAAGACTGGCACAGATATTAGCTCAGGACGAATCTTCCTCAGCAAAAAAAAAAAAAAAAAAAAAAAATTTAATATTTGCCCCATTTTGTCTCAAAACAAATGCCTTATATATCATCCAAGGCACTCTACAAATATAGCAGTGTTTATTCTTTCATATACAATCTGGAAAATTACATGGCTACTAAAAGCACTGAATTCTATTTTTATATCTTCAGTCAAAAAAGCTCATGGCTAAAATGTATACTTAAATTGTGTTTACATCTTTTTTTTTCCTTTATAATTCACAATTCCATTAAACTATAATTAAACATAATTTAAAGACTGAAAATCTAGGCCTTATTTGTGGTAAAAGAACTGTAAATTTCCTTTCAGGTTAAATTGCTGCTCCCAAAAATTCATCTCAAAATGCAATGAGGTTTGCCACCAAACACATATGATTTGCACATGACTGTCAAATTTTTATGTAAATCTCAAACAACTAGGCCTATAATCAAAAGAAGCAATAAACATTAAGTTCTAAAACTCTGCATTATAGTTCTGTTTTTTAAAATATCATCTTTCCAAACATACAACTTTACTACCATTTTAGGGATGAGACAAGTATACATTTTGTGACTATTTTATTGAACTTTTCCTTTTCCTATGTCCAATGGACAGTATACTTAAAGTACCAATGAAATAAAACAAATGTCTGTAGTCAAATCACTGAAGTATTTGCAACATGCTCCTTGCAATGCATCCTAAACAAGAAAAAATCTTGTTCATCTCAGATAATGAGTTTATCATGCAAAATGAAAATATATATAAACACTACATTTTAAAAGTTATAATTATACATCATTTCACATTATCCTGCCCAACCTCCCTTGAGGTAGAAGTACTGAAAACTGAAATGAAACAAAAATAGAAAAGAAAAGTAAAAGAAGGGAGATTAGTAATGTAAATGCTGTAAAACTGTTGACTATATATGTACACATACAATTCAGTTATATAGAATCTGATATATCTGTATGTATTCAATAAAATTAGCATTAAAATCAAAGCAATTTCATAATATTTGCCATGCATTTCATACTGTTAGTCCCTTTAAAGATATATTTATTATGAATGAAAGAGGATAAGAATAAGAGAATCATAAAAAGGAATAAAAATTATAATACTTGAAAATGTTATATTATTAATACGAGTAAAACTGAAAAAGAGGTTTCTGGATAATGTATAACTCATAAAGAAAGATAAATCCTCCAAGTCCTTCTCCATGCTAAAGGTTTAAGTTGACTGCAGCAGAAAAGGACTGCAGCAATAAAGAATCAGGTAAAAAGAAGTCTCCAGTCTTGGTCTAGTTTGAGAATTCTGAAGAATTCTGGTTCCTGTTTCACACAGGCAAGACTGTAGCAATGTGTCACCAGTAAACTGGTAGACTTCACAGATGTCCTGTGAGATTTTTGATGTGTTTACTTCCAAATATGTTATTTTCAAATTGTGTTTTAAAAATAAGTATTTCTGTAATAGTCAGTTGCATCTGTTTCCAAACCCTTACTTGATAAACACACATATTCACTAGTCTTATTTGTGCCTTGCTCTGCTCACTGCTTTTTTCACCTGTGATAATCCTTCTTTATCCTAATCTTGCTAGTTTGTTTATATAGCTATTTCTGCTTTCATTTTAATTAACTCTCAATTAACAATTAACACATTTCACTTTTAACAAGTTGCTTAAAATCATATGACATATATATATATGTATATGTGTGTGTGTATATATACACTTCATATATGGTTAGTTTCACTGGTTCCATGAGTTGGCACCTTTTTGCCTAGAAAATCCAGAGTAATCTCACCTTATCTTATTTACTTCTATACAGAGACGACATACTTGAACCCCACAGCACAAACAAATCTCTCTCCATAAATTCCAAACTATATAGAAATACCAATTTCATGTTTAATATTTTAAATTCTGACTATTAATACAAAAGTACAATAATATACTGGACAGACAACTAAGACTAGTTTTTGTTTTATCATTGGCTCAATCTACTGTTGCCCATGCCTTTAAAACATAGCAAAATAAAGCAATCAACAAAGATAGTGTTGTCTACCTCAAACTGTTTCAAATTACAAGAATAAATATGCACTAAGAAAAAATAACAGACTGCTATATTAAGCCATTAAAACAAATATAATTATTTAAAATACGCCCAATTGACGTTCTTGCATTTATCTCAGAAGATAGTTAATCATATTACTCTTCAAGGGAATGAAGAGTCAAAAATCATATATTGAGAACCTATCATGTTTCATGCACTGGACCAGGAGCTTGGGACATCAGAAACAAAACAAAGCCTTGTCCCCTTAATGTGACAACTCCTAGGACTGTAATTTAGTATCATTCCTTTAGACTAAGTACACTAGTAAACTAATATTCAACTATTGAAACCCACTTCAGATGTTGCCTCTTTTAGAATGTAATCCTTGATTCTCATTGTACATTCCTCTAGGACTGCATATTTTAATCACAATGTATGGGTTGACCTTTCTTTTCTACCATACTACGAATTCCTAGAAAGCAAAACTATTTTTATTGAAGTCCGTAACTAGTACCTAGCTTTGTGCCTGGCACATGGCACTACCTAATACATACTCATAGTACAGAGAAATTTGATACCCCAGAATACGGCAAAAAATAATTTTACATAGTATTTCAACATTTCATCTTTCATTCCTAAGTTTCCAGACACTGTACCTAAAAGGATAAGAAGATTTTACAATTTATACTCCTCCCCAATTAAAGTCTCTTAATTCATACTTGATATCTTACTCAAAGTTCATCTATTATAACTTACATATATATTTTAGCTGAAGGTGATAGGTCTTAGAGTACTCATTATTGAGATTTGCCATTTTCTTAACATTCTTGCTTATTTTTAAAAAATAAAACATGTTCTGTAATTTTACCACACTGAGAATGCCTAAATTATAGTCATTATTTTATCTTAACTCTGAAATATGAATCAATTGATGATAAAATTTGTTATTTTAGGCAAGACATTCGGTATCAAGGTTTATTTTTTATAAACTAGAGATGATCACAGGCTGTTTTAAAGTTCAAATGAAATGATAATTGTATAAATTAACCACCTTGATAATTACAAATCGGTATGTATGTGACGGAGAAACTTTGTCCATCATATTCTGTGTAAGTCAAATACAATGAGAAAGAAAACTTATTATCAGGTATCAAGTTTTTCTGATGTCAGCAAATAGGACATAGCTATGTAACATAATGCAAAATTGGTCAATATATAAGGATTCCAATTTCACAAAGATCAAACTGATTAAGCAAGAAGCAGTGACTTTCAGGCAGTGATTTCAAGTTTTTGGTTGATTAAAGGAGGAGGAAAAGGGCAACTTTGTAGAAATTTTGCCATTTCCTTGACCTGACACTATCTTTAAAAGCAAGTTTGAATTCTTTTGTATCTAATGAGAAGTACAAGAAATCAGCCATTAGCCTTCTATCTACGAGCAATGGTAAGAAATAGGGGCCTGTGTTCAGGAAGTTTATGGCAAACCTTTCATATGCAATGAGAGAAAAGTTAACATAGTGAGCACCTTCCCAGCATCCCCGATCACCACTGTGAAGCAGCCACTGGATAAAGAAATGCTGGATTGACCGTACCCAGAAGTATGTCTGGAAAATCAACATAAGTCCATTTCCCTCACTGCATGGATGCTCTAACAGGCCAATCAGAGTGAATCCAATGGGTTTTTTTTTCCAACAGTTGAGAATTAGACAATTTTGAGTACAGAGGTATGGTCCAGAACTACTGTAGCCATTAAGTTGTCATAATATAATCCAGTCTGATGAAAAAGTTATTCCACAGATGCAGGCAGACACACAGTAGTACACAAAAATGGAGCTAGATCCCAGCTCAAACCACACAATAAATTCATCCCCTCTCTGGGCTTCTCAGGTACATGACTAAATAAATCACTTTTAGTATTTAAGCTAATTCGATTAAGATTTTTTATACATGCAACCAAAATCATTATCTAGTGAATGCCTTTGGGAATGCCTGGGGTGGCCTTGGTTTAGGCTTGTCATCCTGGCGTGATTATTATTAGTGTTCCTTTTCGTGCTCTAAAATATCCACATTGGTATCACAAGGGATACAGCAAGTAAGATCTATAAAATTCTTCTGGTATTGAGGCATAAGATACAGAAATGGTAAAGATTTGACAGCATGGTATTTTAGCCTTAAGGTAGTGGTAAAAATAACCTATTTTGGTTTTATACAATGGGCTATAATATTTTTAAATGAAGGCTCAATTATGGAAGACAAACTGGCAATAATCTCCTTACCTATTATGCTGCCAAGTATGTAAACACAGAATCTCCTTAAAGCCTCTATCACACACCAATTAGTAATGAATATAATTGTATACACACACAACTACACACACCACTATAGTCAAACATGTTTAGGCAATGCTATTATTTTTTATTGTGATAAGTTGTGCCTTACTTTAGATACCACAAAAAGGCCAAAACCAGAATGTAGAATAGAAACAAATTAGGAGTAATTCACATTACCAAAAAAAATTCACTTTAAAGATTCACTATTGATTTCATTTTTGCAATATTTAATCAACTCTCTTGTTGAATTAATACTATTTTCAATGAAGAAAGTTTACATAAAATATTAGGAGCTCTGAAATATTTTAATCAGCAAAACACATTTACAGAAATAATATTATTATGACAAAAACTGGCTAATGTGATTAAGCACAAATTATTATTATATAACTTGAAACAAACGAGTAAGCTTATTTAAGAAAAAATATGTTCAATAAAGAACCTCATCTGTTTTGGAGACTCAATATCTGTCAATTTTCTATCTGCACTGGACATATGATTTATAACATTCAGATTGGAATTTACCAGCAGTTTCAAATATGGAAAGTAGCTACCTATGTCTTTATGAGCAACACAATGTCTAGATACAGTACTGACATTTTGATGAGAAGATGTTTAAAATTCATCAAGGCAAATAATAATGAAAAGGTAATCAATACAAACTTTCTCACAGAAAAAAATGTAAATAAGGCCATTATTTTATGTCCTTAGTGAATATTTAAAAAATGCTTAAAATTCTCTCTTAGGTTAGGGACTGAATTAGGCAAAATAAATGATTCCTAAGAAACAATGAAATAGGAATATATTTATTTCAGTCTTAATATATTCAGCAATCATTAATGTTGAAAAATGAGACTTTATTGCTCCCGACTTATATTTAGCACTTTATGTTCAAAAGTGAATGTATTTAATTTATACACAATGAGCCTATGAATTTCTTATGAATAATATTCAAAGACAGGAAAAATAATAAATTTGGTCACTTTTATGCAAATCATGTCCTCCTATCTTATGTTTTAAATGATATTAAATGTTGTTAATAAGTGATACAGTGTTTGCATCTTAATAAGCAATATTTGAGGATTCTAAGTTATATTTGTAGCAAGATCTTTGGTTTCAGTAGTAATTCCACATAACGATACGGTAATAAATGAAAAGCAAGTGTACTGGGACATAATTACCCCTCATAGGCTAAGTTTAAAGAAACTTATGCTCATGAATGTTCTAATCATTCTGCTCTGCTGGAAAATGTCACCTCCCATCACACACCCTACTCACAACAACTCTTCTCAATCTTACAGCAATGTTAAAATATGAATAAAATATAAATGTGAGGCTTTTAAAAGAAATGAAAGCCATAAATTAATAATAAAACACATAATGGTGGTGGGAAAATCAGTTGCTTAAATTTTATTTCTCAAAGCAAAGACATTTTTAATAACGATCATAAAAATTCCTAATCATGCCAAGCTTTTTCATCTCCGCTCACATTATTTTATCAGCTAGCTGGTCTATTATAAAGGAGTAAGTAAGCATAAACATGAAGATGTTAAGTATACTTCATTCTAGAATTGGCTTGAATAGATCCATTAGCTGAATTCTTCAGCAACAACTAGCTTTATGACAATAGTTTTAAAATCAAACCAAAGATCCAGAGGCAAGAAGTCTTAAAAGAGGCGCTGACACAGAGGATGGAACAGATTCAAGAAGATATAGATTTTGAATTTTGAATAAAAATTCAAAACAGGGACCGAATTGGACTTCAAAAAGTTCACCACAAGTTTCATTTGTGAGGAGAGATTATTCTCCAACACCTCATTATCACTAGTTCCTTCAACATTATTCAAAAATACCTACTTCCCTATCTTCTGATCTCAGTGAAGACTCTGGGGATACGTCTGTCAGATTGGACGCTGTCAGATGCCACAAGAAGATTTGAGAGTCCTTCTTGACGGTATTTGCACTGTTTATAGGAGTGTAATCCCCCAGCCAGCAAATGGACCAGCTGCATTCATGACCTCCCAGCAAGTGAACAGACTTGTTCGAACAGAGCACGTCCTTGAAATTTCTTGCCCATGAAATCCAATTTTGATGTTGAAAACTCTCATCCAAGTTCCCTATAAGTCCATCCATTCCTCTTCTGAAAGAAATGGAACATTGTCCCCCAAAAATTGAACAAAGATATGGAAACAAAATGCCCAAAGGGTGAGGGAGAGCAGGAGAAAACTAACAGGAAAAAAGTACAAATTATACTTAATTACAGCAAGTGTAACAATAGTAAGTATCTTGGCAAATGGTTATGACTCTTATTCTCAAGTTGAGATAGGGCTTTTTAAAGAAAGATATGTATAATATAAGCCTTAAGAACAACTATACTAATCTTTTAAAATACTTGATTTAAATTCACAGAAATCTATTTCTGCACAATCACACACACTTGAAAATTTTTATTTTATAGCAGTTATCATACTTCAAAATTTGATTGCAATATCGTATTCTTGTTAAAAGTCAACCAAACGAAAGATTTCTGATGGGGAGCAAAATACCAAAATGAAAAAATACTGACATAAATACGTCTTAAGACTTTTACAAATTAATTAACAAGAAACTTTTATTCAGTACTTTCTGCCAAAAGAAAATACTATGAATGAAGGATGGCAAAAAAATGTCTAAGAAACACCAGAATAATCAATTACACTTTGAGAGACATACTTCTACTCTGTCTCTGTTATGTTACACCATAACAGTCAAAATAATCTGCCAGGGGAAATTATCTTTAACATATCAGAGAATACAGAAATAAGAATAGAGACATTTCAGTAAGCACACTGCAGTCTGAAGATTATGAGGAATATGAAAACAGCACTGGAGTATTGGAACGACTAGACAGAAATGTAGAAGTGCAAGGATAGAAAAGACTCCCATTATGAAAGAAAGGCATTCAAGTCTACACTTATTCACGCTGAAAAATCAGATAAGAATATTATACCACCTAAACAAATTCTCTTCTTTAATATGGTTCATTATATCAACCTTAATTATGTGAGAGTATGTTAGAGTGTATAAGAAAAGTTTAAAAATTCAGAGTAGATAAAAATATATGTTTTGCTTACCTTTTAAATGTTCTTTCTCCTCTTTTCTATGCCAGTCCAGATGCTTGGGTATAGTTCCTCCCTGCCAGTAGATGGAGATAGTAAAATTGAGTCTTTTGGTGACCTCAAATCCTAATCTAGGTGGTTCAGAATCTTCAATTTCAGATTTTGGAAGTAAAAAAAAATTTGAATGATTGAAAAGACACATAGAGTTTATAAAAATGGTTATCTGAGTCAGTCAAATGAACTTTTATTCATGGTCATTTGTACCAATCTTTAAGGGAGAGGGTCTTGGCTGGCATAGAAAAAAATAAAAGAAAGAGCATTATTTTGTAGGATATATTCCCTTGACTCTTCAGTCTTCCCAGATCTTGCTCATTTACTCAACTAATATCTACTGAGTACCTACTCAAAATTGCAGGTTACTGGCCAGATGCTTTCATATACATTATCTATTTAATATTTTTAACAACCCTGTGAAGTAGTAATTATCATCCCCAAACATCTCATCCCAGAAACTATATTTTTAAAAGTTCCATATGGTGAGCTGACTCTTGCTTGCCAAGTTTCTGTAGTCCACAAGATGTTCAGTTAACAGCTTCTCAGATTTAGGCAGAATTAGTTTCTTCTTCCTATTGATAAAGGGACTTTGAAGTTGTTGAAATCTCATTTGCTATTGGTAAAAACTGGTTTTGCTTTATTTTGTTTCAAATTAAGTCCTCTACTAGCTTCTTGGGAAGAAATTCAAAAAGCTATGGTGCAGCCATTTTATAGAGATTAAGTGGATCATCTGAAATAAAACAGGGTTCAGGAGTAGAGCCGCATGAAAATGTTTTTCTTTGAGAAATTGCTCAGTTAAGATTAAATTCATAGGGATAAGCATTAAAATTTGTGATTATTAATAATGGCTTACGAAAATAATAAAATCACTATCAGTTTCCAAAGCTAATAGGACACATAAGTACCTCTTGAAGATGATAAAGAAGCAAATTATAAGAACATTTAAAATTGAATTGCTACTGATAAAATTAAGAAATAATTAGTAACATTTTTCTCACTCAGTTTGGTACACCCGTTGAAATTTTACTTAAATGGAATCTATCCCTTCTTATCATAAAGTCTAGGTTTCAATATTCCTTGTAATCATGGTCTGTGACTTGATTTCAACATGACACACTTAGGAAAAATAGGGCATTACACTACTACTGAAACAGGAGAAATACCAATTTGTTCAAGAATTAAATTAAAATTAAATTAGATTAAAATAAAACTATCTTCTTTTATTTACAGTCACCTTAATCACTCTGCCCAAATGAATACACTAATATTTATATACTGCTTTATAGTTCTTATAATGGTTTCCAGATTACAAAATATTTTCCTATACATAAGGTTTTTCTGGTTATCACAACAACCTTAAAAACCAAATGTATCATGCAAACTTTATAATTGTGAAATAGAGTTGGTTGTCACAGTAAATTGACCATAAAATTTCTTGTCCAAACCAATACATTTTTAAGAATGAAACAGGGTGGCATTATTAATTGTGTCAGGACAACAGACATAAACCATGATGGGCCCCAGGAAACCTGGACATATGGTTACCCTAATGACAAATGACAAAGTTAACCTTCAACCCAGATCTTTTAAGTCTAAATCCTATTCTCTTTCCACTACATCACACGACTCCAGGAAATCTTTCAACCTGAACATCTGTGTGATTAATTCTTAAGTGTACGTTTTCCTGTTAGCATCCTTATTCAACTTAACCCACTGTGTAGAACTTTTTTCTTTGTTTTCATAAACTTGGTAATATCTATTACATTTACAGTACTTTATTTCAAGGTAGGTTAAAACAACAACAGCAACAGAAACAATAATCCTAATAACTTTTTGTGTTTAACTGCTTTTTAATGAGTTATTTGTGAGGTGCTTCTAATACTAGCAACGAAGCAGGAGACATTTTTACTAATTATCACTGATTTGCTGGATTCTGGCTCCCTTCCACTGCTTGGAACAACAAGGTTGACATGAATTCTACTTCTAATTGTAAACATTCTTCCAGAATTTGGTACTCCTTAAAAAAATGATAAATTCCATATCAGTTTAGAGAAAATAAGAGATCATTTAAAATGTGCTTAATCATTAGGGTTAAAAAACATGGAAAAATGAAACTGAACTAAAAGTAAAAACTGCTTATCCTGTACGATGGATTCAAGTCTCACATACATATTCATTTACTTACTTGATTATTTAGTTTTTAAAATATCTGTGTGTAATTTAATTAACAAACTCTAAAAGATCATGGATTTTGCCTAGGTTTTCGTTTTATTTGTTTTCATTGTTTGTTTTTTACTACAGTATCACCCAAAACATAACAGAGTACCTCACACATAATACACACTTCATAAACATTTGTTGACTGGCTTAACTGCCTAGGAATAAAGCTCATGTTTCACCTACAAACATTTACAAAGAAAATTTAATAGATAAAAAGGATGACGTTTGGGTTGATTCCTGGCCTGTCATTACTGTCTGAAGATCACTGGCTAAAGAAGAATTGACCAAAATCTCTCACATTATACGAAAAGACAGCAGCAACCTATTGCTATGTCATCAAATATGTTTCTATCGAATAGAGTTATATTAACTTCATGTTTGGAATTACTTCGCCATGATCTTTGAGATCTCAAAATAAAACTTCTAACAACTGCGAGATTTCATCTAAAGAGCATCATTTTCAGGGAAGAAATTACTTTTCCTTTCTGCAGTCAAAAGTAAGTGTCTGTTTTAAAAAAGATAATCCCCATTCTCTTGGCCAGACTTTGGAAACACACATATATACTAAGCAATGACAAATTTGAGATTTTTCTCCTCACAATTCCCTTTTTTACCGTAATTCCAAGATCAAAACTTGTTTTAGCCTTATGCTTTAATTTTTCTGTGCCAGATGACGGGCAGAATAGGTAATGTTCAGAATTGACTGTAAGTATTATGGTATAGTGGAATAATACAGTAGTACCATTATGATAAAGAGCACCCAGCAGGATGATCTAGACACAAGAATATAATAATGTAGGAAGTTTTGGAGACAAAAACAAACCTTGACAGTATTTGCTAAATAATGTCTATAATTCTCTGTTCCTTTATAATTGTTCCATTTATAAAACTAGGCTTCAAAATTCCTCAAGTATGTTAAACTTCTGAACCAAGTATTTAAAAACACAAACTATTTTTTCCTTATCCTTTTAAACCAATGGCTTGAGAAAGTTCTGAGAACCTGATGAAAGGTATGGATGCCCAAGCCAGAAAATTATATATCTAGATACATACTGTCATAGTTTTCACATAGTAGCATACAATTTCAGAGTATTCATCCGGCTCCTAGAAACCATCTATGAACCCTTTTATCTATGAAATCGGGGTTAAGAGCACTTTCCTAAAAAAGAACTTGTCCATTATAAAGCGAAACAGTGAATTCTTCACTCCAGGATTAGATGGGATAACAGTGCCATTTTGGTAAAATAACATCAGTGTAATAGCGTAACCAATTTAGCAATCAGGGATTAAGAAAGAAATGGATCCTGAAAGACTAACTGGAGTTTTGAAATGAGTTGGAAAAAAATACATATATATATACACAAATATATATATAAATATTATAGATATAGCATATTTTTCACATAAAAATAATGATATTTCATAGATTTCCAATGCAATTGTATAAAAATATTTAAAATATTTTCCGGAAAAATGTATCTAAAATGTGTAATTTAGAACAATCTAAAAATTCTTTACATTCACTAAAAAAAATGGTCTTTTCTGGAGAAAATTTAAAGATTTATTATCAAGAAATGTATATATAAAAGAATATAGCATATAATTTAATTGTCCTCCTATATTTCAACGAGAAGGATTTATTTACTATGATAGTTTTTCAGTGCAATGACAAGAGTAGTGACCAATTTTTGAGCACCAATAGTGGGCTAGAAACTGTTAGGCACTCACATGAACTATCTTACAGCAATACTGTGAGGGAGACTTTATCACCACCGCTCCATCAAACAGAGACCTTCTAAAGGGATCAAGACATGAACAGAGAGAACAAAAAAGTAGTAACAAATGTGGACCCTACCAGAGAAGATGCTCCAAACTGCAGACATGGACATGGATTGATAACAAAACTGTTTGCTTCTATGGCAACTATAAACAGTACCCTCAGGGTGAGGAGTAGCAGGAGTTCCTGTGTTTTAAAATGGCAGTGGTTCTCCTGAGCCATGAAGGTGGGTCAGATAGCATAAAATACATCCAATTTGATCCTAGTTCTTTTGTGGCTGAATTGATAGTGATTCATTTTCAGAAGATACTTAAGACAACATTAGAAATTTTCCTCTACTTTTTTTTTTTTTTCCCATAGCAAAAAAGCCGGTTCAGTCAAGTTGAAAAGCAGTAACACAAGGATTCCATATGTTGTTATTTTTTGGTTCTTAAAGAATTGTTACAACAATAAAATATAACAATTAAAATCTTTCACCAGACTTTATATTTCATAAAGGAGATTAAAGAACATTTAAAAAGATAACAATACTATCTATAGTTAAGTTCTATGTAGGTAATTGAATTTTTCACTCAAAATTAACTAAAAGTTTTTTCTTGACAATTGTACAGTAAGTAGGTGCTCTCTTTTAGTCCTTTAGTGAATATAGTACAGAAAATTTATAGTAAAATAGTGTACACTAAGTACATTTTTCATCATCCTTGGATTCAGGCTCATATAATGCTGTGGAATCACCATCATTTCACTTGTTGTTGAAGAGTGTAAGTGCGATGGAGAAGACAGTCAATAACTGTGACCTCTTTTTTTATTTTTCACTTACCCCTTTCTCCATAAAAAGCATAGTACAACAGTAGAGTATAGTATAAAAAGTCCAGTATAATAAAAGTCCTATAGGGGTTAAATTATAATTAAAAAAAAAATATTTCTTCACCAGCTGGGAGAAAATATTTGCAAAACATATATCTGACAAGGGGTTAATCTCCATAATATATAAAGAACTCACACAACTGAACAGCAAAAAAACA